GTATTATATAAGTAAGGTGATACTTTGTCCGGATTGGGTTTAGGACCCGCAGTGCTCCCGACATCACCATCCTCTAACCTTTTGCTACTGTTGGAGTCTACCTCGGGAACTATATCCTCTACCTCCCAGAGAGGCTGATAATATCCGGGTGGTCGAGTCGGGTCATCGGGTTTGGGAACATGTGGGTGGTACCAGTCCGGGTACAGTTTCCCTGGCCCTCTCTGATCAACTGTACCCCCAGGAGAATCGTGCTCACAACAAGCCATATCTTGCACCAAGGTTAGTCTAATGCACACCTTTCACAATGTAACACATCACACACAATCAAATATACATTATCCTAATGCATTACCATACCAAACAGTACATATAGTAGACAGTCCAGAACCTTTACTCTGATACCAAAATGAAACACCCTTCCTTTAACCCCTCAAAGTATGCATTTGGAAGCGTTATGGTTCAAGCAGATCACGACACAAAATTTCAACATAATTACTTGGGTTACTATTCATTTGGTAAAATCTGGAACTTTTAGATTCCGTGCCTCAACTTTGAAAATTCATATCTCATTGTGTACAGATCCAATTAAAGTGTTCTGTCTATCATTTTAAAGCTTGGGATGTGTACAACATGTCTGCCAAACTTCATGGCTTAACTCTTTCATTTGATAGGTCAAACTGGAGCTGGAAGTTGACTACTCCAACACCTATGTTTAATTCATTAGACAATTCTTGCTTTAATCCTTTTTATTGTTTTGGCATGCATAACTTGGCCCTATCCTTTCCCATTCATTCTTATACCTTTCTATTCATGCCAAAACAATAAAAAGGATTAAAGCAAGAATTGTCTAATGAATTAAACATAGGTGCTGGAGCAGTCAACTTCCAACTCCAGTTTGACCTATCAAATGAAAGAGTTAAGCCATGAAGTTTGGCAAACATGTTGTACACATCCTAAGCTTTAAAATGATAGGTAGAACACTTTAATTGGATGTGTACACAAGGAGATACGAATTTCCAAAGTTGAGGCATGGAATTCAAAAGTTTCAGGTTTTACCAAATGAATAGTAACCCAAATAATTATGTTGAAATTTTAAATCCACGGGCTTATGTTGTGATCCGCTTGAACCATGATGCTTCCAAACACGTACTCTGAGGGGTTAAAGGAAGGATGTTTCATTAGGATCCATTAAGGTATGTTGATAACTCCCTTTAGTCACCTTAGGGGCTCAAAACAAATAACCAAAAAGAGATATGCAATACAATGGCACAATCTAGGTCGTATCACTTTTGGGAGCCAAAATGAAAATGATTTCCTAGGTAAACTATATGCAAGTTTCACAAGTTTGGGGGGTTTGTTTGTCTACTTTTAAATGAATATAAATGACTTGTTTATGAATTTTCTCTTTTAGAATGAAATGAGATGGTTGGTTTGAGTGAATGACAGAAATGAAACAAAAGTTTAACAATGAAATGGATGTTCCTCTCTCATAATGACTTAGACTTTCCTTACTTCAAATGATTTGGGAGTTGGCTAGCAATTAAGACACCAAGAGCTACCTCTTAGTCTAGGCCTAAATGGATTAACACATACCAAGCCACCTTGAATATGAATTAACCACAATTAGGTTGATCAAGCGCAACTAGCACAATTGGAATCAAGAATTGCATTCAACACATAAAGAAATATGACAATTAAGCCACCTTATATTGCCATTAGATAGTCTCAACAAATCCAAAACAAAAGCTATACCAAGTCAATTACAAAGGATTGAAGATATGAAGTTCAAATGCTAAACACAAGTCTTGAAATCCAAAGATACACAATTAAATCTCTGATACAAATAATATCCAATATAATCCATCTACATATCAAATAGCATTCTTAAGACCTCATAATTACTAAAGAATGAAGAAGAAGAGATTTAATCAGTTAAAACTCTCCTAATTTAATCCAAGCTCAAGCCATGTAAGAGAAGAATGAAGAACCTAGCCACTCATGGACGAAATCTTCACTTGACCAAGCTCCAATATAATGGACGTCCAACCATGCTAGATTCAGAGAGAGGTGTGAAAATGGTGATGGAATGTAGAAGGAATCAGAAAATCATAGAGAAAGAAGGAGAGGAAGAGAGGAAATGAAAACTGAGAGAGAATGATAGATTGTGTGGTGAATGAATCTTCCAAAGCTTATATTCCTTTAATCTTGAAGTGTTTGGACGGATTTCCTAAAGTGAGATGCTAGATGGACGAGCAAGTGGATTACATCAACAGAATTCTTTGTTTCTTCTTCGAACGCGCGTGATTCTACAATTTCAAATCTAGATGATTGCCGCGGTGAACCCAAAATGACTGCATTTGAATTAGTGGATTTGCGTTCCTATTTCAGAGATGTTTACCATGGCGAAGTAAGAAGTATGCCTTGGCGAACCTTGGCAAAATCATCTTCTTTGATTTCTTCAGCCTTTATCCATCTGTAACAGTCAGTTTGAGCTCATAGTCATCTAGTCCAAAGAGTATAAGATATATAACAGCCAATGAATGAATAAAACTCAAGATTTATCATATAAAAACACATAATCGACTCTTATACCCTCGATGCATAAAATACCTCTAACTTAGCTCAATTACTCAATTAAAATCCACAATTGCATAGGTTTGGACTAGGAAATGAAGGTGAAATATGAGACTTGTCATATGTCTAAACTTGATTTTGGTTAGATTTAAGGGTTGTTTTAATTGAAATTTCTTGACAAAATCCAAGGCTATATGCTGCCCATTTTTGGCCTGATTGAGAAAGCATTAGGAAAGGATAGAAACCATGAATATGATTTTGGAATTGCATGTTTAATTGATGTTTGGATTTAATTTTGGAAGAAAACCAAAGTTAAGGTTATATAGACCCTATCTAGCCACTATGATTTCTTGGGGTTAGAGATTGTTTCAATGTGATTTAATGATTCTAATGAGTTCAAAAGGTGTTTTTGTGTAGGGAGACACCAAGAAAAAGTGTTTAAAATCATTGGAATAAAAAATAGAAAATTCAGAATCCTAACCCTATCTATTCGACCAAGTCAAAATGAAGGAGAAGGAGTGTGATTTTGATAAATCTAATTTGATATTTGGATTCTACATGAAAAATTATGCAAGAATGGCTTAAGAGATTGATTGAAACAAAGAGAAAATAATTATGTCAAAAATCAAGAAAAAATGGGTTTAATTGAGTTTAATGTCAAGCATTAGTGTTTATGCTTGGATTATTGGTAATTTGGAATGTGTTTATATTTGGATTAATAGGCATTTTGCAAGGAATCAAAGAGGAGCGCAATCATACCAAAGAGGCCAAATGGATTAAGTAATCAAGAGGTAGCATTGAACTCATAATTTGAATGCTTTCTTGCTTGTTTAAATATGTATATGTTATTTACTTTATGTTGTCATGATGTGATCGAGCAAAATATATGATTATGTATAGAATTCTATGTTGAAGATGCCTTAGCAATATGCTATAAAGAATGGTATAATGACTTGATTGATTGCTTTCTTTTCATGGCAAATGATATGCACATAAAATGTTGTATAATGATGTTAATTTTATGCCCACATGTCACATTTTTATATAGCATGAATTACATGATAATTATGATTCATTGCTACTGAGATTTCTTATGAAATCTCATTCTTTTATATTTAATATTCATTAACTAGGAGTTGGACCAAGCAAAGACAAAGGAAAGGAGATCATTTTAGGAGATAATTGATTGTTATGCCTCTTTGAAACAATGTTCGTAATTATTATGGATTATTGTGAATTATGTTGAATATTTGTATTAATGATCAAAAGTGATATGTATGTGAATATTTGGTCAAGAAATCATTTTTTAGCATAAATTATGTGATTGGAATGGTTATATGGATTGAAGAGGGAAAATTAACCAAGAATGGCAAGTTAAAGGGTTAAAAGTTGACTTTTAAGGGACAAAGTTTGACCAACAAAATTTTATGCAATTGATTGAGTCCTGAGATGAAATTTGGTAGGCTTATAAATCATATTTTTAGCTTTAAAACAAGTGATATTTAATTAAACTTGGAGTTTTGTACCAAAAGTTATGCTTTTCCAAAATTGAGCATAAATTCTGAAAAATTGAAAAATGGCCATATGAATAGTACCACTTTGCACGAAATTTGGGATTAATTGGTGAGTTCTGGATGCCAATTATATTTTTTCCTTAAAGATGGAACTAAGAGCTTTAAGTAGAACTTGGAACCATTTCATTTCAATTTTTCTAGAATTAATTATGAATTTTTAAAATTTGGCTTTTGTTAGGGTTACAATGAATAGTAACCCAAATTTATGAAATTTTAAAGTTCAAATTTTTCCAATTTAAGACTATAAGATATGATTCTAAATGGTTCTAATTGAGGTCTAAAAGTAAAGTATGACAAAAGGCCAGAGATTAATATAATGACACTTAAAATTTTATCCGTCTCTCTATTTTCACGTGTATATTGGTTACATATTAGTCATTTTTAAGACGAGAATGGACGGGAGGAAACTTTCGCCGGAGGAGAAGGACGCCTTGGATCGTAGTAGGAAGAAAGTGAGAGCTGGTGATGGTGGATTCACGAATGAGCATACACTAACCCCTCGAGATGAACCCTGGATGCGCGAGGAAGCGGTGGAGGGTATGTTAACACGTGACGACGTGCCAGCTTTGCTGTCGAAACCGAAGAGTTTTAAGGAGGCTGTGTCGAAGGGGAGGGAGGACATGGAAGAGGAGGTGGACTGGTGGAGCAACGATAGGTGGAAGGAGCGTATCCAAGTCGTGATGATGGCGCAAGGACCGAACGTTATTATCCCGGAAAAGGAGAAAGAGCGGCTAGCCCAGCGATGGAAGAGAGCCTTGATAGTGAAGCTCCTGGGTCGTATGGTGGATCCTGAATATTTGGAGAAAAAGCTCCAACAGCTCTAGGCAAGAGTCGGGAAGGTTGCTACGATCGATGTGGGCGCGGGTTTCTTTGTTGTTCATTTCTCTGAGGACAAAGACTATGACTTGGCTTTGATTGGGGGGCCATGGCTTCTGTTTGATCATTATCTGTCTGTGCAACCATGGCAGCCGGAATTCGAACCTGACGAAGCATCTATCTCTATGATCGCGGCCTGGATTAGGATTGATAAGCTTCCATTGGATTATTATGACCCAGGAATCCTACATGTATTGGGCTCACAGGTGGGTAGGGTGTTAAAAATTGACTCGAACACGTCGAAACGCAAGAAGGGTAGGTTTGCACGAATTTGTGTAGAACTCGACTTGAACATGCCCTTGAGGCCTTTGTTACTGATTAATGGAAAAGCTAAACGGGTCCAATATGAGAGTATTCACCTAATATGCTTGCATTGCGGAAGGTACGGGCATGAAGCAGATCAGTGTCCTCACAAGAAAAATGACATGATGAGTAATGCAGCAAAGGAAGGTGTCCAAGATAAAACATCGAAGCACACAGGAGAGGCAGGAAACACAAGCTCGCTAGAATCTCTAGCGCAGCCGAGTGGGACGGCGGAGTCTGGGATGAGTTTTGAACCATGGATGATGGTTCAACGCCGCCATCGTACGAGAAGGTTGAATGGTTCAAACGGGAAAGGGAGTGTAGGGTGGCAGGATCAACGGAATAACGGAATAAGGGCACGAGGATGTCACTTCAATACGTTGGAAGTGGAAGAAAGAGAAATTATGGGCGAATCATTAGGGGCTAATCATTCGAAGATTTTGTCAATGGACTCGAATATTGATGATGCAAGGACTGGGGGAGGTGTAAAAGATTCGCGAGTTGGGCCAAGGACAACCTCCTCTGTTGGGCCAAGTAAGGGTGCCATGCTGGTGGGGTCTGAAGAAAGTGTGGGGCAAGATCGGGCTAGTGATGGGGGAGGGAGCTGCTAGGTATAAGGGGTCAGAAAGCATAGTGAGATGGACCACCTTCTGAATGTGAAAGTGCAACTGGGCTTGCAGCAGTCTAATGCACCGTGCACTTTGGGCCCAGAGACTAATTTGTCCTATAATGAGTTGCCAAACAATTATGTGAGTGAGAGGCAATTCATGCAGATGCAACATGCAGAATTGAGTCGCAAGAGGGATGTGAGCTTACACATGATGGAGGAAGACAAACCTCCGGATTGAGTCAACGAAAAATCATCAACAGCACCAGTTTGTGAGAACCAGTCGGTGGGGGAGCTCAGTGCAGGAACAATGGTGGTGCCTGACGTAAACATGTCGGTAGACCCACGACAGTGTTGATCGGTTTGTTTACTACCTTAATATTTATGGATATGAATATTTGCGTATGGAACTCGAGAGGGGTGGGTAGTCGAGCGTTTGCAAGATTGCTCATGGAGATGAAAAAGCATTATAAGTTTTAGTTTATTGCTTTGTTGGAGACACGACAATAAAGTTGCAAAGCTTGGATCCTGGCCAAGCTGTTGAATTTTAAGAACGTCGAAGTGGTGGATGCGATAGGATTTAGTGGGGGTATTTGGTGCTTTTGGGAGGAGGGAGTGGATTTTTCGGTGACTCATAAGTTGTCACAGGTGGTTCATGGTACGTTCAATCCTGGGAAAGAGGATGCGTGGGATCTGTCAATTGTGTACGGCCACCCGAACCCAGTTCAATGTCGTCTTTTATGGCAACAGCTTCAGTTCATCGAAGACAGCGGCGTGGGAAAGTGGTGCATGGGAGGAGATTTTAATGCCATTTTGCACACTCATGAAAGACGATTTACGGCTCGGATTAGTGCAAGACCTGATCGTGACTTCATAAACTGGTTCTCCCAAGCGGAGATGGTGGACTTGGCATTCCAATGTCCGAAGTTCACCTGGAGGAGAGGGCCTTCGAGTAGCAGGATTGACAGGATGATGGCTAATATGTCTTGGTTTGAACACTTTGACTCGGCTTCTGTTATCCATTTACTGGCTCTAAAGTCTGACCACTGTCCTCTCTTGCTCAAACTTAAGGGAGATATGATCCAACATAAAACCCAGGGGACCTTTCGGTTCTTTGCCCCTTGGGTTATGCATGAAGACTTCCATAAAATGGTTCAGCGATGCTGGGAAAAGGATGCCAGTTGGGGTGAGAACGTAAGAAAGTTTACAATGGAAGTAAAGACGTGGAATAGGCATACTTTCGAAACCATAGATAAGCGAAAGGCAAACCTGCTTGACCAGCTAGATCAATTGAATAGGAAGAGTCAGGATGGATAGTGGTGGAAGGAGAGGAGACAGCAACTGTGGACTGAGCTCGAGAAATGTCTGTTATAAGAGGAAGTAATGTGGCTCCAAAGATCTAGATGCAATTGGTATAACCATGGGGATAAGAATACGGGTACTTCCATACGGTCACGCAATGCCGTAAGAGGAGAAAGATTATTGAAGCTCTTTAAAGTAAGGAGGGCAAGTGGTGCTACGATTAGGAATTATTGAAACAGGAAGGTACCAATTTTTTCCAGCAATTGTACACTAAAGAGGCACCCCGGAGTGGACTTGTTTGCTTTGGCGGGACTTTCCCATCACTAGGGAATGACCAATTGACCGATATGGGTCGGGATGCTACCCCCCAGGAGATAAAACAAGCATTGTTTAGTATGGGTGCATTGAAAGCACCTGGACCAGATGGCCTAAACCCACTCTTTTATCAGAGCCAATGGGACACCGTGGGGCCTTCGATGATTAAGTTGGTCCAACGTTTCGAGATTTTAGACCTATCAGCTTGTGTAATGTCGTGTATAAGGTGGTGACAAAAGTTCTAGCGAACCGTTTAAAGGGGGTGATGCGTTTAATTATTTCTCCAAACCAGTGTAGCTTTGTACCAGGGAGACTAAGCTCAGATAATATTATTGTAGCACAGGAAGTTATACACTCTATGCGGACTGCTAAAAGGAAAAAAGGATTTATGGCAATTAAAATTGATCTTGAAAAAGCTTACGATAGGGTTCGTTGGGACTTTGTGGTTGGGTGTCTTCAGGAGCTGAACTTACCGGCTAGCTTCATTAATCTTGTCTATTACTGTCTAACCACGAGTGAGATGCAACTCTTATGGAACGGAGCGAAGGGACCAATGTTCGCTCCTTCTCGTGGATTGAGGCAAGGTGATCCCATATCACCGTACTTATTTGTGATTATTGTGGAGAAGCTTGCACATCTTATACAGAATGAAGTTTCTCTTGGCAATTGGCGCCCCTTCCACCTGAAGTCAAACAACACAGCCATCTCACACCTCTTTTTTACAGACAATTTGATACTCTTTGCGGAAGCTAACCTGGAGTAGGCTGGGCTTATAAAGGCATGTTTAGATGACTTTTGTATGGCATCCGGGGAGAGTGTGAACAATTGTAAGTCAAGAATCTTCTTCTCCAAGAATGTCCATCACGTGAAACGAGGCAAGATAAGTAAGTTCCTGGAATTCACCCCTACGGTAGACTTGGGTAGATACCTGGGTGTTCCTTTGCACCATCGTAAGGTTACTAATGCTACTTATCAGTACATCCTGAGCAAGATGGACCAACGCCTGGCCAGCTGGAAGGCCAACACATTGTCTATAGCGGCTCAACACACTCTTGTGTCGTCAGTTGTGGCTGCAATCCCGTCCTACACTATGCAATCAACTCCACTGCCCGTAGGGACGTGCGATGCGATTGACAGAAGATGCAGAAACTTCTTATGGGGTAGTTCGAATACGGTTAGAAAGGTGCACCTTGTAGTGTGGGAGGATGTCTGCAAACAGAAGGAGGATGGGGGCTTGGGATTGAGGTCTGTTAGAAAACAAAACACTGCTTTTATGATGAAACTAGGGTAGGGATTGGTGAAGAGGAGAGAGGCACTATGGGTGAAGTTTTTGCAGGAGAAGTATAAGTGTGGTAATGATGTGCTGCCTAAAATAGAGGTTAGAAAAAGTGAGTCCCAAGCCTGGAAAGGTATTAGGTCGGCTTGGGCATCCACCATAAAAGGGATTGGCTGGAGTTTGGGGGATGGGACTCACGTGCGTTTTTGGGAAGATACTTGGCTCCCTAACTTTGGATCTCTTGTCTCACATGCTACCAGGCGGCTTGACGAGAACCTGCTCAACACGAAAGTGGCAGAGTACGTATTAGCTTCAGGAGACTGGGACTGGAATAAGTTCTCTAGATTTTTGCCTTGCTCAATCCTAAATTGTATTCGTAGATATTATCCGGTAGGGCTGGATGGGTCGGAGGACAAGCCACGGTGGACTGGGTCAAGTGATGGGGAATTTTCGGTTAAGTCAGCATACAACCTTCTGTGCAGCCATGAGACCACCTCATTGAAGGGATTGTGGTGCAGGGTATGGAAGCTGCCGGTACCTCAAAGATGTAAGAACTTCATGTGGCTTTGTGGACGTGGGTGGCTTCTCACGAACTGTTCACGTGCAGTACGACACATACAGGATCATATGACGTGTGAGCTCTGTGGTGAAGAGAGGGAGGATACGATGCATGCCTTACAGGATTGCTGTGTGGCCTCGGCATGTTGGGAAGCTACAGTACCACTAGAGATGCGGAGCAAATTTTTCCAGTCTAACGATCTGGGTAAGTGGCTAGTCTCGAATATTATGGCAAATGGCAGGTTTACGGGTATACGGTGGAGCGTTTGGTTTGTCATCTTGTGTCGGCAAATATGGATGAATAGGAACACTGGGGTGTTTGATAAACAGGCCAAGGGATACCGGGAAGTCATCGCACAGGCTAAAGCTATAGTGGAGTGTGTGAGGGTGAACGCGGAGTTGAACCAAAATGATGTAATAGCTAGCCCTCGCTGGGTTGCACCATATCTAAGTTGGGTTAAGTATAACGTTGACGACGCGTGTTTAGGGGAGACCAAGGAGATAGCTTGCGCAGGTGTGGCTAGGGATCATGATGGTGCACTGCTAGATGGCTTTACCTTCAAGATTGGTAAGGGGAACAGCCTTCATGCTGAGCTATGGGCGGTGCTTTGGGGGTTGAAGAGGTCTTGGGAGTTATGATGGACAAGGGTTATCATCCAGACGAACTGTCGGGAGGTAATGGAGCTACTGGAAACAGGACAGACCAATGAGCACCCTGACCAGAACCTGTTAGAGGAGCTGAAGTGGTGGCTGGAACGGGAATGGGAAGCTCGTGTAGAATGGTGCGCTCGTGATGCGAATAGAGTAGATAATACGCTGGCGAAACATACGTTGACGTCTGCAGAAGGGATGAACTTTTTTAGCACTCCTCCTAAGTGCATTACGGTGGACCTTAATTCTGATTTAGTTTTGTAATTTGTCCTTCCTTTCATTATCAAAAACAAAAAAACAAAAAAACAAAAAGACCCTATCACCCAACAATCTAGTCCCTGCTTATCTTCAAGCATCATACTTCAGTCTCCAGCGGTCAGACGGTGCATTCGGCACCCATGTGATTGCCTCTTGTCCTTCGTGTCTTTCTTCAGCCATATAATCACCACATCAAAGAATCTCTCTTCTTGTCCTATGAATCTCCACTTTCCAGTTTGCAAATGCTCTAATAAATATGTATCTTTATGCACTAATTTTCTCTTGCCATATTTTAGCTTTGCATTGAGGACAATACAAAATTTAAGTTTGGGAGAGGGGTTGATGAATTAAATCTTGATTTTCCAAAAATATGTCCTAATTCTTTTCAAATTACCTTATAACTAAGCTAATACACTCCTTGTTTTTATAAATAAAATAAATTATTCAAATGACACTTTATGCAATTATGAAATCCTACATATTCATTGCTGATTGTAATAAGGGTTAAGGTGCAATTTTAACAACAAAGTTTACCCGAAAGAGCATTAGGCACCATAAAGTTTATTTGGGTGCAAAAATATACATGAAGTTGTCAAAAGGGAGCATCTGGCATCATGCCGTTAACGTCCGTCAGTTTACCGTTAGAGGGGCCCAGAAAGTCAGTTTTAAGGTGCATTTTTAACAACAAAGTTTGCATCAAGGGGCATTAGGCACCATGAAATTTACTTGGGTGTAAAAATATGCATGAACTTTGTAAAAGGAAAAAAATAACAAAATTCTTCAACCTCCATAAACATCCATTAATTTTATTCTTTTTGGTCTCATCAAATGCTATATTTTCTCTCTATAAATTTCCACTTCCAAGCCGATCCATCTTTCTCTCATCATAGTCAACACGCATACTCTCTCTGTCATGTTGTTTTCTGAGCCTCCAAGCCTTTTATATGTATTTAAGCAAAACACATATTTCCCTTTTAGGATATAAGGTTCATTACTTGCACCCGAGTACTACCTCCAGTCCTTAATATAGGATCCAATGGACTAATTTGAGGAGATTAAAATAAATAAATAAATTACTTCAAATATTATATTATTTATTTATTTGACGCAATAGCATATAGTACATGATCTCTCTAAAATATTTATATGCATCATTAAATTATATATTAGCTTACAAGCCAAGAAAATTAATTTGGAGAAAAAACAATAAATATAATATTTTAAAGTAATTTATTTATTTATTTTTAATCTTCTCAAATTAGTCCATTGCATCCTATATTAAGGACTGGAGGTAGTACTTGGATGCAAGCAATTAACCTCATATCCTAGAAGGGAAAGATGTGTTTTGCTTAAATACATATAAAAGGCTTGGAGGCTCAGAAAACAACATGACAGAGAGAGTGTGCGTGTTGACTATGATGAGAGAAAGATGGATCGGTTTGGAAGTGGAAATTTATAGAGAGAAAATATAGCATTTGGTGAGACCAAAAAGAATAAAATTAATGGATGTTTATGGAGGTTGAAGAATTTTGTTATTTTTTTCCTTTTACAAAGTTCATGTATATTTTTACACCCAAGTAAATTTCATGGTGCCTAATGCCTCTTGATGCAAACTTCGTTGTTAAAAATGCACCTTAAAACTGACTTTCTGGGCTCCTCTAACAGTAAACTGACGGACATTAATGGCATGGTGCCAGATGCTCCTTTTTGACAACTTCATGTATATTTTTGCACCCAAATAAACTTTATGGTGCCCAGTGCTCTTTCGGGTAAACTTTATTGTTAAAATTGCACCTTAACCCTTGTAATAATTTGATTAATATTCTTAAGATTAGTAATTGAAATAGGTGAATTAATGTCTTGTGATTAGTATGCTATTCAATTTATTAATGTGAATAACTCCATGAGAGAAAAACCCTTGTTAGAAGGTATTTTGAACCTAATTTTTTCTTTGCTGGTGTATTTTTCACTTGTTTTAGTTTATTCTTCATAACTTGTTTTAATTCTTTTTACAATTTCCTAATTCATATGCAATTCTTTAAAATGATTGAGCATTCATATTCTAAACCCTTTTATCCCAAACACAAATCAAATTTATATTTTGTTCGTTGGTACCCCATTTGAGCCCAGCACTTTTCTTGAATTCTGTATTATAGCAAGTCTATATATATGTATATAACTCATTCTCATGACATCTTTTTGTGCAATTCATTAAAGTGAATTACTTTTTTTTGTATTATTACTATTGCTCTTATATAATATGGGTTAAAAAAAAGAAAAAGAGAGAGAGAAAGAGCAAGAAAAGAAAAAGAAAAAGATAATGATTCAAAAAAGGAAAAAAATTGCCAAAAAAAAGGAAGAAAATACCTCTTTATTTCTTATAATTAGCAACATATTTATCTTCTATGCACTATACATATAAAATAAAGATGTCATTTATTTTCTTCTGCGTGCATATTACTTACTGTACATCGTCTTTCATTCCATGTGAACTATTTCCAACATTACAAGCCACAAAGACTTCTTGATTTCTGAATACACATGTAATTGGGGATGATAAATTAGAATATTACAAGATTATGGTAGGGTAGCTAAATAAGTGAAACGAGTGAAATAAATACCCCATATAGGAGAAATGAGCGATACAAATATATTCTAAGTGCTCTCTCATGCTTTATTTCCATTAATTTAACTGAATATCTGTTTAATTTATTTGTATTAATTTATCCGTGACTCTTACTAATCCGAGGGATGTAATTGATTAGATTATTACTTTTGTACTCGAATATTGTCCAATTTTTTGTTTGCTAAGTTGATATGAATGATTTCACATTTTACTGCTATGCTCAAGAGTGCAAAGGTTTGAGTATGGGAGAATTTGATGTATCCCTATTTTATAATATATTTTTATATACAATTAAGAAATTTCATAATGTTTAAAATGTAATAGATACTCATAATTTGAATTTAGGAAATTATATAAATTAATTGGTTAAAAATGTATCTTTGCTTTGATTCCAGGGAATATTTTGTCATACAAAATATGGACTTCATGGAAACTACATTTGTGATAGCCACTTGGCATTAAAAGAGAATTTTTCAATTATCTAATTGAAAATTATCCAAAATATCTCTTATCTTCCACCATAAATTAAAGAGCTTGAATAATTAATTTTTTGTGGATAATTCTTTTATTGTATTTTGAATTCGAATAAATATTTTATTCATATATCCATTATCCATTTAATTTTTCAAATATCCATATCATCATCTTTATCCTCTTCCTAAGCCCTAACCTCAATTCATCCTACCACCATTTTTTTATTCAAATTTAAAATAGTATCCTTTTATCCAATATCATTTAAATTCAAAAGCTTTTCCTTTTGGTTGTCATGAAGATCACACCAAATCAAGATAATTCAAATGCATGTTCTATCTTTTGAATTCAAAATAAAATCCTTTTCCTCAAAGACAAGAGATCAACAAGATTATAAGATTCAAAATAAAATCCTTTTCCTCAAAGACAAGAGATCATCAAGATAATAAGATGACAGAAGATAAAAAATCTAGCTAGAAGTCTCAAGGGTTTCCTTATTCAACTAAGATGGATTCATGAGCTATAAAAGGAGATTAAGTGAGCATTGGATAAACAACGAAGCCATCTACACTACACAAGCACAATTATACACTTGGCTTCTTCTTGTGTCTAGTTGTTTCATTGTCTTCTTCTTATTATTTTCTTTTTATCATTATGATGTCATCTAGCCTGGTTGGTCCTCTTTATTCCTGTGGACAAGATGATGCAGCTTGAGTTTCTGTTTATATTAGAGAATTTGTTAGTTTTCATATTTTAACTCACGAGTACGTTGCTTTCATAAATTCCCAAGGTTAGGATTTCTATTTTTATGGATTGTTATTAAATTTGTGTTTCAGTGGAACAATTACATTTTGAAGTTTTCAATAAATATGTTTTCAGTTTCTTCATGATTCTCTAAATATTTATCTTTATGAATTTCTGTTTTGATTGGTACAAGTAGTTCATGTTTTAGAGTTTTTGATAGATAACTCTTTTCAAGGAACAAGATATAATTGTTTAATTGAATTCACAAGTTAAGTGATTTTTAATTGATTAATTAAAAGATAATTATATACTAGCTCTCTAGGTATATTTGTTAATTGGTTAATCACGACTTAGATGTTATTTAGAGTTTTATTTTGATATAGTAAGTTGTTTTTATATAAATTCCTTATCCTTTTGAGCCATAATGGCTATACATCAACATCTTTGAGAAGTGTATCATTTTGATAATTTCTTCAATTTTTTTTTTACTTTCTTTTAATTTTCATTATTTTTTCTTCTTTTTCTTAATTTATTTCCCTAAAAAATCAATCAAATTTTTTTCTACTCCTTCATTCTCTACATCACTTTTTTTAAAAAAGGTTTTTAAAATTTTAATGAAACTCCTCATGAAAAGAGATAATCTAAGTTGACCTTTATACTATATACTACTTCCGGTTTTTAATATAAGATCTTATTTAATTTTTATTTTGGTCCTAAATATAAGATCCCAATATATTTTGTCTCTCATATTTATACACTTTTTTCTAAGATAGTTCTTCTAACAATGATAATTCTAACCAACACACTTAATTAGTAAGGATATTTTGGGAAAGACAACACATATTTATTACAAATAACTAACTTAACTTCTTTCTTTAATCTCTCTAAATTAGTCAACTAGCTCTTATAATTAGGACCGGAAGTAGTATATTATATTTAATTTAGATAATTAATTCAAAAACTTATATGACGGGGCGATATGACGGGGCGATCAAAACTACAAGGACTTTGATCATTAGCTTCAAATCATAAGGACCACTTTGAAAATTGAGGGAAAGTTCAGGACAAAATTTTATTTTTACTTTCTTTTTCAACTTTTTGATGACTATTCTTCACAGAGGCTACTTATATTAGTAAAAAATATTTTTGTTCGAATACCTGAAAAGTATTTATTGAAGTTGACACGTAATTTCTTTAAAAGAAAAACGTATAACAGTTGTCATAATAACATGGATTAATATAATCTTTGTTTTTTAAGTTTATTTTTATTTTATCTTGTTCTCTCAAATTTAAGTCTCTTTGAAAACAAAATATTCCAAATATTTATTAAAATATAGGAACTAATATTTTAAATAAAAAAACTTAAAAACTAAAATTTATGTTTTAAAATTTAAAAAATTAAAATCAAAATGAAAAAAAATTTAAAACATCAAAACTTTGTACTAAGCCTCGTAATAATAATAACAATTATAATACCGATATTGGCCCAAGTATCCTAACTTGTAAGAGTACTTGTCGGCGGCCATCTGCTCTGTGTCCGTTTGACGATCAACCCTCCCATTTGATCGGCTTCTCCCTTTCTGTTCCGTTGGCCAATCAGGTCCCGCCTCTGCATCCTCCATCGAATCTCTCTACTTCCACCTTGTGTTCTAGCAACGTGTTTTCTCTCTCTTTTTTCTCCACTTTCTGCGTATCTTTTTTGTGTGGGAATTCGTAGAAATTTGAATCTGCATCTTGCAAAGCTGAACTGGGCTTTCCTAATTGAATCGCTTCGAGAGTTGGCTTTTTGTTCTTCAATTATCATTGATGTTGCTATGATGTACCCAAATATGTGTGTGTGTGTGTGTGTGTGTGTATGCTGCATTTTATGTCAGTAATTTCTTTGCTTTCCATGTTATTTAATTTTTGAATTGTCTTATCAGATTTCAAATTGAAAAGAGGAGGAGAAATCTGACAGTACAGACATGTTTGGGTTCATAAGGCGAAGAGTTGCTTCTGGCAGCTCGTCTCCTTTGGTAGGCACTTAGCTTTACTAAATTTGGGTAATTAGATTGAATTTTGGTTATGTTTGTGTGGAACCACAAATCGAAGTTGAGCTGGAGCCTCACACCAATTCTGCATTTATACCGGCTTCAGGGTCTCTCGTTTCAGAAAGTTCGGTCAAACCAATTGCTCCCGAGTCGATTTTCTTCCGTTTTGGAGAAAGAGGTATTTATACCTTTCATATATTATAATTTGCTTTTTAACTTCTTTTTATTCTTTAAAATAGAAGCTGCAAGTGATTACTCAAAATATATGAACATTTTTAGAACTACGCTTTATCCACTACATATATACAAGCGTTTAATCATGTCACTCTTTATCTCTGGCCCACTAAGTGTTCCGACCCTTTCTTTCCATTGCAAAATCTATTACGTAATGGATTTTTTCAAATTATAAAGTATGGCATTGGATTTCTTTTTCTTTGGTTTTTTTGCAAATAAAGTAAGGACATTATTTTACATTCCTCAAAGTGCTAGGGAGATTGGTGTACCTCTACCACACTAGTTATATATCAAAACATATTTTCAAGAATAGAATATCTCAAGCTTTTTCTGATCATTCAACATGAAGAAAGCTTTTAATGGTTGTTTGTTCTCATTTTATATGGTGATTTTTGTTTAACCGGATATTTTTTTTTTTTTTTTTGGGGTTTTTGAAAATGAGTGGTTGAAACATAGCCTCATTTTGCTGTTACTAGTTATAGTGTGGGCTGTCTAGAGGTTTGGGATTTACTTACTACTCAAATGTTCAAGTAAAGTTTTAAGACTTTTTTGGTTAACAGATCTTATATCTTTCTGGAGGATGTCAGAGTCTTCGGAATATCTGTCATTCAAGTTCAAGTGGTAAATTTGGGTGCATTTAATTTTTGTTTTTTTTGGGTCATGCTTTTAGCTCGAACTATAATTAATTACTCAACAGGTTTGAGAGTTAAAACATAAGCTATATTTTGGTGCAGGATGCGGGATCAATTTAAGGCCTATGAGGTTAGTGGTGCTGTATAATTGAGACTTTTTTTTGGGGGTTAAATTTAGGACTTTGTTCGGGCCTCTCCTAGTTATTCAAGCGCACTCTAGCTTGTCAAAGTTAGGACATTTTATTTTACAGTGATAGAAATTGAATCCCGTTTTCTGATGGGAGATACTATCTTTTCTTCCCAACAGTGCTAATCCCTTTTGGAATTAGGACGTCTTTCTGGTTCATATACTTGTAAGTGTTTCTATAAGGCTGTGTCAAATTCTCTGGACATGATTTTCTCAGAACTAATAAAATGAGATGGTGAGTCTGTACCTGGCTCATGAATTGTGATCACTGGTGCCCCTAATGGTCTTCTTTGCACTATTGAATATTTGAATTAGTTAGACTGTTGCATGTTGTCTTATAATTTCACTCCCTAACCATAGTTGGCTCTCTCATTGAAATCAATCATTCATTGCTAGTTATTATGGTTGATTGAACTGATTCCTATCTGCTTTGTCTTGCCGTAGCCATTGTGTGAATACCCATTTTCTCTGAATGGTTATTTCCCTTTTTGGGAAAGCCAACTTGGCTCTCCCTTTATTCCCCATTATTTAAGCGTAGCTATTCCTCCAGTTTGAACTCCTTCCTTGAGCTTGCGCCTGTATGAGTATAAAAGTAGTCTTTCGTCCAGTTATAGAGTATATTTGAAGAACCTTGCTCCAAGCTAATGATTGACCTACTCTCCATCTTCAGGGGGAGTTTGGTTATTATAGTGATCATATAAAATCTGCTGATTTAATTGCTGTCATCCTAAATTATCCTTTTAATTTTTTGTTATTTGATGGTCCTGACGTCTCCTATTTTAATGTAGTTTATTTTCGTTAGTGGTTTTATGGGATTCTAGTAGCAAATTCGGCACTGTGGTCTCCATAAGTATGTTGCTTGCTTAAGCTGATATTAATGTGAATTTGCACTCACATGACATGAACTTGCATCTGACGTTCATACAATTACTGAGTTCTGAGATTTTTCTGGTGTGATTGAAAGTATCAAATGTTCAAAGACAGAAATCTAAATGAGATCATTTGTTTACAGAAGAATAGGGGGGAATAACTGAAAGATGTTTAAGAAAGAATGAGAAAAGTCGGAAACTCTACTTATTTGTGATATATTGATTCATCTATTGTTAAACAAATTCTTTCACGAGACTTTGTCTAAGGTGGGTTGCAACGATGATGAATCTACTTGGTTATTTCCCCTCATCGCAGTGTTTCTTTTCTGTGCAAATATTTCATCTGAGGTTATTACGGCCAAGATTTTGTATCTGATTTAATTCTTCCTAAAGATTAATTTATGAGCAAGTGGGGTGCAAAAGTACATTCTACTTATTATTATTGGTATAATTCTCATTGCTGCATGGAATGCAGGGAGCTTTATTTTCAAGAGATTGCAGGGCAAACATGGAGGCGCTCCTTTTCTTCAGATAATGGTGAGTTATTGACATGTCTCTCCCAACTTTTGATTTATACAATTTTCTTAGTTTGTTCATCAGTTTTCTTTTGAAAATGACACTGATAGTACTGGGTAACACCAGCAGTTCAGGTTCTAGGATAATTGCTGAAACAAAATGTTGGCTATTCAGTCTCTATTGGGCCTTGGGCCATGCAGATGTGTGCAAATCTGTGTGATTCTTTCTTTTAAATTTCTGTTTATTAGAGAGATCATGATTCCTTTCCTGATATATCTTAGGATTTGATTTAGACTCCTAGAATCTCGGCCTGATCCTAGTATCTTGCCTAATCCCTAAAATCCCGGCCTAATCTCCTCATTCATTGAGGGAATTGTATCTATTTAAGTCTGCCATTCTATTCGAATAAAGTACAACTTCAGAATCATTAGATTCTTCATGGTATCAGAGCAGAGATGATCCGGTTTGGAATGGGCTTCAACAATGATGGCCAAAACAACCCTAGGGTTTCCGTAAACAGCCAATCAGGGCCAATGGCAACAGTGACTGGTTCTACCAGCCACCAAAATTCGATCGGATTGATGGCAACAGCAACTGGTTCTACCAGCCACCAAAACCTGATCGAGTCAAGCCCTACATCTATCACAATTCATCGGCTCAACGGTGAAAATTATATGCAATGGTCATCTAGTGTTCGGTTATATATTATGGGCAAAGGCAAATATGGATACTTGATTGGTTCTGTCCAGAAACCAGCCGAAGGTGATGAAAAGTATCCTACTTGGGAAGCTGAAAATTCCATGGTGCAAGCTTGGTTGATAAACTCCATGACAACTGAAATCAGTGCTCACTTCACATTTTTCCAGACTGCAAAAGAGGTCTGGGACGCTGCAAGGGACATGTTCGCTGCACTGAAGAACAAAGCTGCCATTCTAGAAATAGAAAGATTTCTTCATGATTTCAAAAAGGGAAGTCTTTCTATAACCCAGTACTACACTGACCTAGTCATTCAATGGCAACAGCTGGACATGTATGAATCTTATGATTGGAAGTGTACTGGAGATGCAGCTCTCTATGCAAAGATAAAAGAAGAGAAAAGGGTCTTTAAGTTCCTACTCGGATTGGATGACAGGTTTGAAGAAGTCCGAGGAAGAATAATGGGACTCAGCACATTGCCACCTCTAAGGGAAGTATTCTTCACTGTTAGGAATGAAGAAAGCAGAAAAAGACTTACTTCCACCGAATTGAGGAATGAACCAAGTCAACCGAATGCCCTTATGTCAAAAGGGGGTCCCCAAGATGACTCCAGAAAACAGAGCAAATGGTGCGACCATTGCAGAAAAAGAGGCCACACTAGAGAGGTGTGTTGGAAACTACATGGGAAACCTTTGAAAAAAGGGAGACAGGATGGCCGAGGCTTTGTTGGAACAACTGATAACAAGAAAGAACCAGAATTCAGCAAAGAAGAACTGAATCTACTCAGAAAATTCCTGGAAAAACATGATGCCCAGGAAACAACCCTTGCTGCAGGTTATGTTGCCCACACAGGTAAAACCATATTAGCACTAAAAGCTGACATACATCATTCAAGACTCTGGATTGTGGATTCAGGTGCAATAGATCATATGACTGGGAACAAAGAACTTTTGACCGAAATAAGACCATGTCCCATAAATATCTATGTTAAAGTGGCTGATGGTAAAGCCTTAAAGGTTGAGGGCCTTGGAATCGCATATATAACCCCAGAAATAATTCTGCATAATGTCTTTTATACCCCTGGATTGAAATGCAGTCTACTTTCTGTAATTACTATTACTCAAAATCAGAATTATGATGTTCATTTCACTGCTACTCAATGTGTTTTTCAGGATCTGAAGCGAGGGAAGATGATTGGCACAGCTAAGATCCTAGAAGACCTCTACTGTTTGGAAGTTCAAGAGAATCAACACAAAGGAAATATCATCAAGTCTGTGACACATTCCTCTGTTTTTTCTGCTACTTCAGAAAATAAAGATGCTTTGTTATGGCATTATAGACTAGGGCATCCTCATTTTCATTATTTGTCCAAGTTATTTCCTCAATTTTCAAACAAGAATGATTTATCTTTCATGTGTGAAGTCTGTCAGCTCTCAAAACAAACCAAAGCAACTTATAAACCTCACTCACATCAATGCACAAAGCCTTTTAATCTTATTCACAGTGACATATGGGGGCCATCTCGCCTACCTTCTCTCACTCATGCTAAATGGTTTGTTACATTCATTGATGATCACACACGACTTACCTGGGTATTCCTAATGAAAGAAAAATCTGACCTACCTGCTACTTTCATCAAATTTCACAAAATGATCCTAACTCAGTTTCAAACCCAAATTCTTACCCTGAGAAGTGATAATGGACGAGAGTACATGTGCCAAACCCTACAAAAATACCTTCAGGAACATGGGATTATTCATCAAACTAGCTGTGTTGACACCCCACAACAGAATGGGACTGCTGAACGCAAGAACCGTCACTTATTAGAGGTTACCAGATCTCTTATGTTTACACATAATGTCCCTAAACAGTATTGGGGAGAAGCTCTCCTTACTGCCGTTCACTTGATCAACCGACTCCCATCCAAAACCCTTGATTTCCAAACGCCAGTAAACCTTCTCACCAAAACCTATCCCTCTAACTCCCTTACCCGTGACCTTCCCCTGCGAGTTTTTGGATGTGTAGCATATATTTATCACAACCATGGCAGTAAACTTGACCCAAGAGCCCTAAAGTGCATCTTTTTAGGCTATTCTTCTACCCAACAGGGGTATAAATGCTACTCTCCATCCCTACGTAAGTTCTTTGTCACTATGGATGTTCAATTTGATGAGACCCAAGCCTACTATCCAAAATCTCCCATTCAGGGGGAGAATTTCAGAGAATGGGAGCTTTTACACCCACAACACACCCAACCTACCATACCTACCAATGCTGCCACACTAGAAACAGACACTTCCACACCAGAACCAGAAGTTTCTACACCTGACACACCCACAACAGAACCTGGAATGCCCCTAACAGCACCTCCTACACCTGTACCTGATCCTCAACAGCATTCTGTACCTCCAGAAACAGACTTTAACACTAGTTCTGATCCACCTGAAACCAACCTGAATACACTTAACCCTAGCATGATGCCTAACAATGCAGTACAGGACAGTGATGATGACCAAACAGATGCAGATTCTGATAAGGAGCATGAGGCAAACAGTAGAGGTTCTTCGGGTTCTGGGCAAAGCCAAGAATCAACCCAACCTGAGGATCTTGGATGGCCCATTGCACTTAGAAAAGGGGTAAGGAAGTGTACTCAACACCCTATCAGCCATTTTGTATCCTATGATAAGCTATCACCATGCATGAGGACTTTTGTTACTAGCATTGACAGGGACCAAATTCCCAGAACTTTTGATGAAGCTGCCATGGATCCTAAGTGGAAGGCAGCTATAGATGAGGAGCTGCAAGCACTTGATAAAAATCAGACTTGGAAGATTGTCAGCCTCCCACATGGAAAGAAGGCAGTGGGGTGCAAATGGGTCTTCACTATTAAATATAATCCAGATGGGTCTATAAGCAAGTTTAAAGCTCGACTAGTGGCTAAAGGTTTTTCTCAAACAGAAGGGATTGATTATCAAGAAACATTTGCACCAGTGGCGAAACTAAACACTATAAGGATACTGTTGTCCTTAGCAGCCAACCTTGATTGGCCCCTTCACCAACTTGATGTTAAGAATGCTTTTCTAAATGGGGATCTCGAGGAAGAAGTGTATATGAGAATTCCTGAGGGACTAGCAGAACATGGAAATCTGAAAGCTGCATGCAGACTGTATAAATCCCTTTATGGTCTCAAACAGTCTCCAAGGGCATGGTTCGAAAAATTCACGAAGGTAGTGAAGAAATCTGGTTATATGCAGTGCCAATCAGATCATACATTATTTGTCCGACATTCAGAAAGAAAGGTGTCTATCCTAATTGTGTACGTAGATGACATTGTTATAACCGGAAATGACAGCAAGAAAATAGCAAGATTAAAGAAGATTTTGGCAGCAGAATTTGAGGTGAAAGACTTGGGGAGTCTAAGGTATTTTCTTGGAATGGAGATTGCCAGATCAAACAAAGGGATCTCAATGTCACAAAGAAAGTACACGCTAGACCTACTTAAAGAAACTGGCATGTTGGGAGCTAAACCATCATCAACACCTATGGATCCCTCGGTCAACCTTGAATACAAAACAGATGGTGTACCAGTTGATGCAGAAAGGTACAAACGATTGGTAGGAAAACTTATCTACCTATCACATACAAGACCAGATATTAGCTATGCAGTGGGAGTGGTTAGTCAATTCTCTTCACAACCACAAGAACAACACATGGAAGCAATATATACTATCCTTAGATACTTGAAAATGACACCTGGAAGAGGGGTTTTCTTCAAAAAGGGAGAGTCAAAAGACATAATAGTATATACAGATGCAGACCATGGAAGATCTCTTGTTGATAGAAGGTCAACAGGGGGGTACTTTACATTTGTTTGGGGTAATTTGGTAACTTGGAGGAGCAAAAAGCAAACTGTGGTTTCTAGAAGCAGTGCAGAAGCTGAGTTAAGGGCACTAGCTAATGGTGTTTGTGAAGGAATATGGATCATACGTGTCCTAAAAGAAATTAGAATCAGTGTTAATATCCCAATTAAGTTATGGTGTGACAGCATGTCAGCACTACAAATGGTTCATAACCCTGTGCACCACGATAGAACAAAGCATGTTGACATTGATCGGCATTTTATAAAGGAGAAGATTGAATCAAAAATCATTGACCTATCTCATATAAATTCTGGGTCACAAGTTGCTGATGTCCTTACAAAGCCACTAGATCGAGGCAAGTTCGAAAAATTTAGAGACAAGCTGGGAATGTTTGATATCTACATTCCAGCTTGAGGGGGAGTGTTGGCTATTCAGTCTCTATTGGGCCTTGGGCCATGCAGATGTGTGCAAATCTGTGTGATTCTTTCTTTTAAATTTCTGTTTATTAGAGAGATCATGATTCCTTTCCTGATATATCTTAGGATTTGATTTAGACTCCTAGAATCTCGGCCTGATCCTAGTATCTTGCCTAATCCCTAAAATCCCGGCCTAATCTCCTCATTCATTGAGGGAATTGTATCTATTTAAGTCTGCCATTCTATTCGAATAAAGTACAACTTCAGAATCATTAGATTCTTCACAAAATGTGTTTCTTCCATCAATACTGTCGGTTCTATGTCATTCTTTGCGGCTCTTCCATGCATTATGTCCTTTACTTTTGGCTTTCCTTGCTTATTTAACTTGGCCAAGAAAACATCATCGGCCTTTAAAGGTTTCCATTGGCCCACTGGATCATGTAAAATTATTGCTACCCTCCAAGAATAATTTCAGAGTCTATGGGCCTGGTTGTTTTCTTGTTTTGTGAACAATTTTTTTTTTTAAACTTGTTTTGTTGTTAATTTTTAATTAAGTATTTTGTAAAATCAAAAATAGAAATCTGTTTTTTAAAAACAGAAACCTCAAAACAACTTTCACATGTTTTATGTTTTCTATTTTTTTGTTCTTCTTTGTTATTTTTCTTAATTCTCCATTTTTACTTGCGGTCCTGCTCCCTACTTTGTTTTTCGTGCTCAATATGTCGTTTGTTTCTCAGTTCTCCAACTCACCGTCTGTCATCGTTGCACTCTCTAATTTCTCTCTCACCTTCAATTAGTTCTCCAAATTGATTTTCAAAACCATTGTTCTAAACAAATTTTTATGTTTTTCTTTTTTTGTTTTCAAATGCAATTTTTTGGAACAATTATCCAAACATTTTTTTTTTAAACTTGTTTTATAAACAAGCAAACAAAGCCTAAATTACTTGGCTTTTCATTTCCTTCTTCACTGTCAACTTCACTTTCTTTCCTCTTTTAATCATCTTTTTGATAGTGAACTTTCTAGAATCAATCCTCCTTTTGAATCTGTTCTGCATGAACTGCAAAGTGCTCATCTTCAAAAATGTTGGTCTGCATCTGGCTCTTAAGCTTCGACTTCAGACTGAAAAGGACTGCTGCAAGTTTTGCTTGCCGCTCCTGCTTTCACTTCATGGACTTTTGCCATTTAACAACTCCACTATCCTCATTTTGTGCTCAAGCTAGCTGACTTGCCTTCAACCCACAACTTCTTTTCCCCATTTGTGGAAATGAAGCTGCTTTGTTGCTGAACACGCTTTTATTCAAGTCAAATGACCCTGTTGAACTTGTAAATCCTCCTATTTGCACTAACAGACATATGATTGAGTCTTTCTAAATATCTTAACAAACCAACAGACTGGAATTTAACTACTAATGCTAACTAATAGGATTAATACAATGTTTGGTCCTTAGTTTGTGCTCACATTGGTTTTGATCCCTATAGTTTCAAACAATAGGTGTCCCTCAAGTTTCTTTCTGTCTATAATGTTTGTCCCTATATTTTAATAAGAACTGGACCAATTTGCCTCTTAAGGGACCAAAACAAAAGTGAGGACAAATTATAAGGACCAAACATTGTATCAACTTTACTAATGTAATTCCCATAGAACAAGATTTGTTTTAACTACTATCTTGGTGGTTGTTGATGTACTTCGAATAGGTCTTTTCAAAGTAGGATTTTGAATTTGACATTTTTCAGTCAAATTATAGTAAAAGGAAATTAGATTTTGAATGCAGCTAAATATTGTCAATGTTAAACATCAATATTTGTAGTTAAGCATGTTCCCATGATTACTATGATCAGCTTCCCCAATAAAGGATGACCTAAAATATATAGGGGCCCGTTTAAAATAGCTTATACGTATAGCTTTCCAATTTTGATTTACGAAATACGAGGTAATTATGTGAGAGAAGTTTTGTCTCGACTTACGTGAAACATGCTTATATAAGTGATGCCAAACAAGCCCTAGGCCATTTGTTGTTTTAGCATATCCAATTTGAGCCAAACAGAAATGATGAGAAGATATGTGCTGTGTGTTTATGATTCTGTTAAATGAAAGCTAACTCAGAGTGGTGATATGATTTATTCTTTCATGGTTCCTGACATCACAAGTTAAGCCAAAATACTGAGATGATTATACTTTGATGCGTGCAATTCCCAAAAATAATAACTAATAACTAGACCAGATACTGAGACAATTTGTTTTTTAGGCAAAACCAAACAGAAATGAGATGATTTCATCTTAAAATTTATTATGCTTGTGTGTTTATCTTATTTCAGCTTTATTTTCTTGTTGCTTAAAGTTGATGAATTGTTGCTATATGTTTGATATAGGAGATCTGGTTGATGTTGTGGTCCCTCCATTGGCTGAATCTATCTCTGACGGCACTCTAGCAAACTTTTTGAAAAGTATGTTAACTAACATTGTCTGTCTGTTCTTTTTCCCCTCAAATAGTTAAATGAATATCCTTTGTATATTTTACTAATTAATTGTTCTTGCTGTTTGACTCTGCTTCATGGGATCAGAACCAGGTGATAGTGTTAAAGTTGATGAACCGATTGCACAAATTGAGACAGATAAGGTGCCCAGCTGAAGCAATATATTAGTTTTTGTGAAGGTTTTACCTGATTCCAAAATATTTAACATGTAATTTTGCTGCTTTATTTTACATTTTCTTATTAGGTGACAATTGATGTTACTAGTCCTGAGTCGGGCGTGATTCAGAAGGTACTATTTGATTGGCTCAATTTCCTTTTTCAAATCAATCATATTATTTTTGTCCTTTTTTGTTGTTGCATATATGTTGAAATTGTCCTCTGGTTCATTTAATGATTCTCAGCTTCTAGCCAATGAAGGGGATACCGTTGAACCAGGTAATAAGATAGCAATCATTTCAAGGTCTGCTGAAGCAACAACTCATGTTGCCCCATCTGAAAGTGTATCTGAGAAACCTGCTCCTCACCCAACCCAAAAGACAAAAGAGGAGATGAAAGCACCTAAAGTTGAAGCTGCCCCTACAACAGAGAAGCCTAAAGCGCCCTCTCCTCCACAGCACTCTCCCACAGAGCCGCAGCTTCCCCCTAAGGAAAGAGAAAGACGAGTGAGTCATTGTGGTTATAGTAATAATTATACCTAAGTACTGCTGAGCACTTAACGTTACTTTACGTCTTCACTCATGTATAAAGGTTCCTATGACAAGACTTCGAAAGCGGGTTGCTACTCGGTTGAAAGATTCCCAAAACACCTTTGCATTGCTGACAACATTCAATGAAGTTGACATGTAAGTTATATTGTTTGTCAGGTTGTGACACAAGCTTCTGATGTACAATCACCTCTGGTGATGCAGACTTTTGAAATTTCAATTTTTGATCTCTTACTTTTTATTATAATGATGAGATAAAATATATTCTATTAAGAAATTGAGGAAAATGAAAAGTAAACCACCCCAAAAAGGTAAAATTTTCCCTTCTTTCGAGAGGCGGGTTTCACCCAGCCGCTACTGCTGTTTCCCCCCCTCTTTCCACTCCCCTTTGGTCTCCCCTTTTTAATCCATCTGCAGCTCTTGTCTTTTTCCTTCAAGCTCACTCAGTGTCTGGGACTGTTTTCACTTGGGTCTGCTTTCCTTTATCTTTTCGCTATCTGCTTTAGGTCCTAGCAAAAAGACCCATTAAGACCGGGTCCATCATATATTATTTATGGTCATGGATCTTCTTCCTTATGTGAACTTATTGATAAGAAGTCATGTTTTCCTCTTCTCAATCCATGTTAATCTGCATATACTGCTAAATCTTATCTGTTACCTTGTATAAATAGGCTCTGAGCCTTGTGGTATGTACAAAGTTTAAAGTGAGCCACATAAAATAATACTACCTCCGGTCTTAATATAAGATCCCGTTTGACTTTTTGTTTGGTCCTAATTATAAAACCCCAATCCATTTTGTCTCTCATATTTATGCATTTTTTTCCAAGATAGTCCTTCTAATAATGATAGTTCTAGCCAATACACTTAATTAGCAAGGATATTTTAGGAATGACAACACTTATTTATTACAAATAACTAATTTAACTTACTTCCTTAATCTCCTCAAATTAGTCAACTGGGTCTTATAATTAGGACCGGAGGTAGTAATATTTATCATTGTCATCAAAGTTTTTATTTCTACAAAAAAATATTTATCATCACCATCACCACCACTATTGTTTAAGGATTTTATATTTTCCAAGAATCATTTCACATTAACATTATTAAATATGAAATGATAAAGTGAAGTGAATTCTGTGCATATGAAGGCCTATGTAGACAGAAAAGGCTGACTTTCTCCTGTGACTATCGATTGAGCGTGGAGACCTTGAGAATATTAAATTACGCGTCATTTTTTTCCTGATTACTCTGCTCCCTATGGTAGGACTAACTTGATGAAGCTCCGTGCTGATTACAAGGATGTTTTTGTTGAAAAGCATGGAGTCAAATTGGGACTAATGTCTGGGTTTGTTAAAGTATAATTTCAATGTATTGAATTATTGAGTTGTATTCGCTGAGCATTTTTGCTTATTTTCTCATGTGTGTATGCTTTTTCTGTTTCAGGCTGCTGTGAATGCACTTCAGCATCAACCAATAGTAAATGCTGTCATTGATGGCGATGATATAATATACAGAGATTATATAGATATCAGCGTAGCTGTTGGCACTTCAAAGGTTTTGAATAACCATTTTACCCTATATGCGGTCACCTTTTACTATAAACCTTTGGGGTTGGATTTGTCCATGCGTTGGTGAAACTTGATAGCTTGTCTAAGATAGCTTTTAAAATAATTTTATCAATGGTTGCTGTCATGTCTATTCAGCTGAAGTAGTATATAAATGGTTGGATCTGTAGTTTAACACTTAAACATGGTCATCCATCTGTGGTATGTGAATATGTTACTTTGTTGCACGATACGGTGATATAGGGTAACAGACTGAAATATTGTTTTTGTCGTTCACTTCATGAATCAAGTAATCTACTTACTTCTTAACACTGAACTTGTATTTTATGCTCGACTATGAAGATGACTAATGTGCCCTGGTGCTTTTTAACTACAGTGACAATATTCTTTCTTTTGTTTCCAGGGCCTTGTTGTACCAGTTATTCGTAATGCTGATAAGTTGAACTTTGCGGAAATAGAAAAGGAGATAAATAATTTTGCAAAAAAGGCAAATAATGGGACTTTATCAATTGATGAGATGGCTGGAGGCACTCTTACAATATCGAATGGTGGTGTTTATGGGAGCCTTTTGAGTACCCCGATAATCAATCCCCCTCAGGTTTGGCAGCATAAGATTTCCGAATATGCATATTAAATTTCTTGCCTTGCAAAATATGATGGTACTTAATCATTGACAGCATGTTCTTTTCTAATTACTCTCTAGTTGACACCATATGGGATGGGATAAATGCACCCCTTTCATGTCATTTACATTAAAACAAACGGTTCTTTTTTTTTTTTTTGGCCAAGACATGAAAAAACAATTCTAGGCGATATTTATCATGCATTTTGGCGTCCTTAACATGCAGCTACAACTTTCCCAACATCTTTCCAATTGGGACCTGATCACTGGGACAAGTGTAATTTGAAATATCCAGCTAATCTTTTTGAGTTATTGTCAGTAAATAGTTCTGGATCATGTGAACAAAATTTGGTGTTGATATGTTGAAAGAAATCTGATGCAGCTACTGTTTTTGGCAGTCTGCAATTCTGGGTATGCACTCTATAGTGACCCGTCCAATGGTGGTTGGAGGTGAAGTAGTCCCAAGGCCAATGATGTATGTTGCTCTAACATATGATCATAGATTGATTGATGGAAGAGAAGCAGTCTTCTTTTTGCGTCGAATCAAAGATGTTATTGAGGATCCTCGCAGGCTTCTGCTCGACATATGAAGCACCCCTCAAATTTATTGGAAAATTAAACACAAGATTCAGGCATAACAGACAAATTGGTTTTCCAACCTTTATTGCTGGTTCTTGGATTGTTGTAGGTCATAATTTAAAAATTTATGGAGGGCAAATGCTTTGGGATCGTATACCTAATTCAGCATGTCCTCATCATTCTTCTGGCTATAAGTATTTTCCACCTTTTTCCCTGGCTTACTGAGAGTATCCGGCTCTAAGCTGATGCGGAACTTCAACGATTGTTCAAAGTAATAACGAGATTCTTTTTGTATACATCAATGCTACAATACAAATCCGGTTCGGATAATTTTCAAGTACATTTGGTGATTCCTAATCCTTGTTTGTTTAACTTGGTTTGCCTTAGTTTTGCCGGGACCGTTGGCTGCTTGTTCAAATTGAAATTACTAAAATTATGATTTTAGTGAAAGCAGCTGCATTCACCAAAACCAAAACCATGGTTATGGTATTTTCTAACATAGAATTATTCATTTAAGTCATTTCCGTAAGTAAATCATACGAGTTTCGATCTCAGTCATCAATTACTGCCTTTTGGATTCACAACAAAATCAATGAACGAAACTATCATGTTTCTGTTTCATTCTTGTCATGTCATTTTATCCGCCGTCTATTACGAAGCTGGACTGTCGTTTCTTGAACTGTGGTAACCTGAAATGAAAGCTACTTTAATTGGGTTTTGTTGATATATAGTGTGTAACAACAACAAAAGTGCAGAGAAAATGTGAAAATAAATGAAACGACAACTCTGTGCTTGTGATACGGCCATTAATTGAAATGTGATATGCTATAAATATTTCACAAGAAGTCGAATGAGTTTAGGTGCTTATTACAGTGATTCGATATGGGAGGTTCAGATTTACTTTTTTTTTTAATTATTATTTTAATGGATAGAGAATCTAAAATAAAGATAATTTTTTAACTACAATTTTTTTTAAAAAGATACTTTTTATTTAAATCATCCCAAATCTGATGAGCTTCATGAGCACCCAAAACAGTCATCAATAAATCATTATATATACTCCCTCTGGTCTTATTGATAAGCTTCAAATTTGAGAAAAAGTGTGATCTATTTTATAAGTTTTAATTTGAGTTTGTGTTAACATTTAATGTATTTTTTTAATGTTGCTTTTAATTATTTTTCTCTTATTGAATTTTTCCACATATTTTCTTTCATCATTTTTCTCATTTATCATAAAAGTATATTTGAAAATAAAAGTTTATTTCTAACTTATTTATTGTTTTTAACTAATTATTCGTTATCCGTGAATTAGTTATTTGAAGCTTATAATAAGCATAAGGGGAAGTAATTAATTCGCCTCAGATTTGCCACCTATTGCAAAAAATATGCAAGCATGTTTAGTTTGTGATATCATAGCAACGGGAATGAACTTAACGAATTATCTCTCGACGCATTCCTGTACGGTTAGTCAATGCAAAGTTTCCTTCAATTTCCCCACGAAACGGTCAACGAGAATAAGTGTAACTGTGTAAACCAAAATACCAATAATAGCAAACTTCAAAAAATAAGTAGAGAATATCCTTTAAAAGACAATTAAATAACCCAAATTTTTATTTGGGTCATTAAAATTTTATAAAATGACTCTAATACCTATTTTATTATAAATCAAAAGAGAATTTTACATTAACATATTTTATTTCACAGTTAACATATCTTCATTTTAAATTAATAATTTTCTGCCTCTATAATATATTTGTAATAAGTCTTTGAATAAAACTTGATTACAATATAACTTTAACAATTAATAAATTTAATTACGTAATTAATAAGTTTCAGTATTAAATTAACAACTTTATAACCTCATAACACTTGCAATAAACTCTAGAATAAAATCTTATCACAATACAACCTTGAAAAGTAGCATATTACATTTCTTAATTAACATATTTCAATTCTAAATTAATGATTTTCTGTTTCCAAAACATACTTGCAACGAGTCTTTGAATAAAAAAAATAGTCACGATACAACTTTAAAAATTAACAAGTTCAATTACACAGTTAATACATTTTAATTCTAAATTAATAACTTGAAAATGATAGGAAAATTTCACTTTTCACTTTTCTAAGTTTCTAATGAAAAGAATATTAGAGCCATTTCAACAAAATTTAAAACCCTTTTTGTGTCATGTGACCTCATTAGAGATTTGATAAATTCAACGATCTAAATATGAATTTGAGTTATTTAAGTATCTTTTAAAGAAATTTTCTCAAATAAATATTATGAAAAGTTATTGGATTAATCCTTGTAATTAAAAATTAGTTTCCAAGATCAAGTCTGTTTAGAAAAACAACCTCATCAGTGCATAAAATTACATGCTTTTTTTTTTTTTCCATTTGATGGAACTCATAAATTTCATACCTAAACGGCAAAAGGATCCGTATGATCTGGTTTGGAAAGAGCCTGAAATCATCCTCACGTTTTTTCTTCCTTCCACGCTTGTGTGCAGAGCAGAGCCAAACAACTTCTGCCAAGAGGGTATATAGAATTTTTGTTTGCTCCAATCAATGGTGGTTCAATATCGCATGGGATACCCGGGGAAAAAAAAAAAAACATACTAGTATATTCGTATATAAGAATTTCATACTCCGCGCTGCTGTGAAACTATAATCACTTGCCGTTCCCCTCCATCATCTGCGGAGAGTGGCATGTGGAGGTATCAGCATCTAGCAGCGCTCTTTTATTCTTCACAAAATTGAATAAAAAATTCATCAAAATTAAGAGTTGGGAACCAATCGATAAATTATTTTAGACATTAGTGTTGTGCTCCCTGACTGGTCCGTGTGCCATCAACCAAGTTGCGAATCTTGTCGCCTTGATGCTCGAGGACATAGGATACGGACCCATAGAACAGATCCTGTTCGAGTAAGGTCATGGCCGGGGGCTCCCCTTTTCGAGCTTGTATACTGCGGCTTTGGTTGCATTTGAACCGATGTGGCATTTAGCCGGCTTGGTTTGTCATCCGAAAAGACAAATCTGCCCATCTATTTGCGCTTTTAGTTCATAAACTTGATGGCAAATACGGGATTCGACCGTGAGAGAGACAGAGAGTGCTGTGTCAGTATCACTACGCGTTCGGAATATTCTTGTCCTTTTGCTCAAAAGTGTTCCAAAAGCAGAGAGTCTTCCTCTGAAGGCTTGATTTGGGTAATATTACGGTTCAGACTTGCGAGGGTTCACCCCAAAATAAATAACAGAAATAGTTGCAAGATCCTCTCGTAACAAATAGATCATGAAATTGAGTAAATAATCACAAACTTCAAGTATTAACTTCGAAATTCATATAAGGTATAGTACTCCTTCGATCCTTAATATAGAACACAATTATTAAATTGGTTTTGGTCCTAAATACAAGACCCATTTATCATATTTATCAATTTTATTTAAATTACCCTTATGGATACTCTTTCAACCATAATCAAGTAGAAGAGGAAGACAGGGTATTAAGAAAGCCGATCATGGTATTTTAGAAAAAACGTATCATATTTCTTATAATTAACTAATTTACCTAACTTTCTTAATCTAATCAAATTAGTTAAATAAGTTTTATATTAAGGACTGGAGGAGTATTTTGTATTGTGGCTGGAAAACAATAAAAATGTGTTTGGTATGGGGGGTTGAGAGGAGGAATTTTGCTCCCCTCCTCTTGTTGGGCAGATAAAAAGTTTAGAAGGGGGAGGGAAAATTTTCTAAAATTTCCCTTCTCCTTCTTACCCTCTCTTCCAAATACGACAATTTGAAAGAAAAAGATAATATTTTACCTTGTCCTGCCTCATATGTCCATAATTATTTTTATTTTCCTAAATTATCCATCATGTTTCCTTTTTCCGTTACCTTCGGCGTAGTGCCTATTCTTGGCCCAATGCCCACACTTCAACTCCATTGCCCTCACTCTTGACTACTGTTAGAAGATATTCATTAAATTTTAAAATATACGACCAAGTCACCCGTTAAATTAAATGTAATTATCAGGAGAAAAAGTCTTTTTTCTAATTACTCTTCAATATCCTATCCCATTTAACAAAAAAAATTATGTCGAAAAGCTTGAGGACAAGCAACAACAGAATTGCCTGGAAGATATGCCTTTTATAAATAGATTGCATCCTATATGATTTCTTGACCCAAAAAAAAAATCAATTATACATGAGAATTTACTTGGTTATATAATATTTTCTGTCATTGCAACTTTTGGATTTTTTTTAACCAGTATTTTCTGTTTTTTTAACAGGTAAATTGCTCATTTTGGTCACGCTATGGTTTTGCCGTGCTTAACAATGTTCAAGCTCACAAGATTACTTTTTGTTTTTAATAAGAACAATATATATAATAAAAAAGTACAACAAAATCAACGCCTGTTTCATAAAACAAAGACATCAAAGTTCAAAAAGAAAGAAATAATATCCGAAATACATAATTGAAAACCAAAACAAATTAAGGTAACAGGATCTTCAGGAATGACATTTAAATGAACAAGAGATTGTAGCTTATTATGGTAAGAAGTATTCCGTTTTTAACTGATAAGAAATATTCCTTTCACTTTACTTGATAAATAAGATGTTCAGCACATAAGATTACCTCATGAATTTAGTAGTTATAATTTTTTTTACCTGAAATGTAGTGGTTAAAATTGATTGTTTAAATTTTTTTTTGGGTGCATTTTATAGGCGTTTATAGAGACATTGGAAGCCAAAGTATATTTTTTATACAACTGGGTTTGGAATTTTATGATAAAGAACTTCTAAAAGATTTGGAAAAGGACGAGGGAATGGAAAAAGAGGCAATTTATTTCTCAAGTTTCTTCTAAATCTTTCCGAAATGAATATTCTTTTTATTATGGAATTTAATTAGCAAGAATATATCACCACTTAATTTTTTTAACAAAGAATCATCTTATTAATTTTCAGAAAAGATTACAAAAAGTCCTCAAAAGGAAACAACATATAAAACTGTACAAGGGAACAAAGCAAAACAAAGAAAAAGAAAGAGCAAAGTTGAAACAAAACAAATAAAAACAAACAGTAATGAAAACAAAACATGAGCCATCCGTTGGATCCCACCCCTCTTCTTCCGGCAGTTGCAAGAATAAAGATGAATTAAAAATAATTGGATAATAATTACAATTACAAATAAATAGAAGATCTGTTTTGCAACCCAACAAGGCCTTAACAAGTTGAGCATATAGCGAAAAAGTTGACTTGGAGTTTTTTTCCCTCAGGGAGAAAAATAAGGCAGAATATATCAACCATGATATTTGTTTGTGCGCAATCACTACAAAAAAAACACGCAATTAGTGACAAAATTTTTATTTAACGACATAATTAGTGATGGAATTTGTTCTGTCACTAATTGGATTAGTAATTAGCGATGGAATTTGAGCGACGGAAAAATTCTGTTACTAATTTGATTTTTGAAAAAAAATTTAAAATGCCACATGGCCCCTCCACTAGTCCACCTCATTGTCGGTGATGACCGCGTGACCATCTTCATGTGTCACTACCACCTCACTTCTACCTGTCGCGTGTTACCACCACATAATTCCTCTTCAAAGTGACTTTTCCATGACTCAAACTCAAGACCTCGTTTATGCGAACGTGCGGCTTTACCAGTTGAGCTGCAATGAACTTGTTAACTTATTATGTAAAATTAAATATATATATATATAATATTCTTTTACACAAACAATTATATATACATATATATTATTAAAAATTAAAAATAAACTACATGATGATTTTAATCATAACTATTTTAATGACAAAATAATTTTTAAATATTTGTTTTACTATTTATTTTATAATGTTTTATTTTTTTAAGAAATATTTTTAATATAATTTTAATTTTCAATGACACTACTTTTGACCTTTAAATCATAAATAATTTTTTTTCATAAATATGTTTTTTAAATTTAATTTTTTGATTAACATTGATAAGATATATAATTTAGTTATATATTTATTATATTACATTATAATATATTATCTATATCTGTTTTATATATTTGATGAAAACTATTTATAATGAATAAAAAAAATCTTGTTATTCAAAAAATAGCTACCATAATAAAATCTAATAAATTATTCCATATAAAAAAATTAAATGATTTGAATAGATTATGATAAACAATATTCTTCTACTTATATATGTATCTTATATAACTAGCAATTTACCCCGCGCATCGCGCGGGATGAACCCACTCTAACACATCAAATAGATACATACTAACCCACGTGCTTTAAATATAATAATGCAAATCCATGTGCAAATAATATACAAAAACATTATCATGACATCATTGACCATCAACAGCATGTTTTGATCATCGTTTGAATATGAAAAAGTGCATTGGAAAGTATAAAATGTGAGTTAGTGGTATCGTTAGAGATGAAACATTGTTTGATCATCTTTTTTCTATCCAACTTTTGGAAGGGGAAAAAAAAAAAAAAGCTCAGTGCAGCAAAAGTTAAACTTCCTAGCTTTTGCCATTTTACAACATAGAGAGAGAAGATAAAATGAGGATGAGAAAAAAGATAAGGTTATTTAAGTGGGTTTCATCTTGATCCAATAATTTGATTTTTTTAAAAAAATTAATTAATGAAATTTAATTAATTTAATTTTATGATCTCTTTAAAATATTTATGTATATCATTAGATTTCATATACATTAGTTTATAAGTCAAGCAAATTAATTTGAAGAAAAAAAGATAAATATAAATACTTTACAGTAATTTATTTAATTTATTTAATTTTCTCAAATTAATTAACTAAGTCTTATATATTTACTTACGAAAAATTAAAAAAATGTCATTCCATTAAATTAAAATATTGAATTGAAATCATACAAGACTAATAAGTCAGAAAACTCTTATTTTAGCTTTTTATTTGTACACCTCTTTAATTAGCCAAAAAGTAATGCAAGTAATTTGATATTGATATTTAGGAGGAGTTTAAAATATCTTAATATTTTGATGTTTTACCTCATTGCAATGAGCACAAAACATTAAAAAAGGATGTATCATAATATAATTAGTTTGCACTTTGTTTGTTTGGATATTGTTATAGTTTCACAATGATTATAATATGATCATGAATTGCGTAACAATTATAAAAAAGAGGAAGCGTTACGTACCATATCAAAAGAAGTATTCTTCATTCGAAACGATGAACATTAAGTACTAAACATCATTTAAAAAAAAAAAAAGCCTTCTTGCACGGTCCCGTGCAATACACGTGAGAATGATTTTTCTAAACGGCAATACCCTTCTATGACAATAATCATCACCAGCAACCATCCAAACCATATAATTATGCTTATAGTGCTGCCAATTCTTGCATCTTTTTTCATATCTTATTGATTGGTTTGAAATAAAAAAAGAATCAGACAGATGATATTTAAGATCAGAACGAAAATTGAGCCTATGGAATTGACCAATAAACTTTTAAAAAAAAATAAGTCAAAATGAAAATTGAAAGAAAAAAAACAAAAGTAGGGGAGTTATCAGCTATGCTAATCTCCTCCTCTCCAAGCTGGGGTTAATAAAAAATTTGCATGAGCCAACTTTACGTGGGAGACAATCAATCTGAAAATTCTAAGGGCACATGACTTGGAAATAAAAAAAAAAAAAACACAGGCAGGAAATTATAAGAAAACACTGAACAATACCACTTCCACAACCTTGGTATCTGTAACGTCCTAAAACGCATTAAGAAATATAATTTCTGCCACATGTTATTTGTTTACGAAGATGCAGCAACAATAATTCCAACTGACTAAATTAAGTCGATGAAAAGAATATCATGTAAGGTTAATATTCTTCTCAACTTTCCATGATGCATGCACGTCAATTACTAATTAAAAAAAAAATCTCAACATTTATGTATGCAGTGAAGTTTTGACGACATCAAGTTGTAACCAACTTAACCAAGTATATATCACACACCACATCTACCTTAACTTACATACTCATTCTTACATATAATTTCTGTATCAAATTGATATCTTAGCTACTGCTTAATTCACATAACATTTTCATAAACATATCAATTCCAGGTTTCATATCTTGATCTGATATGCTCCAAATATTAGTGTATTCCATCTTTTTTCTGGCGGATCCAGATCTTCTATCTCCGATTGCTAACACAATGGCCAACTATGAAAAGTGTCAAAATCTCTAGAACTATAACGTGACTACTCAAACTTCCTACTGAGCCTACTATCCAGACAATTGATTCGAACAGTCACCAAATACTAAATCCTGAGTCCACCATATTAAAAGACTGAACATTTTGCTGGTGCTTCAAAATGGTCTCACATCTTCACACAGCTCAAGATGCACAGATGAAGGCAACCAGGAGCTTCGGAATGATATCTTTAAGCTGAATTTTTTTTTATCATTGTTCCACAACACCCAGTAACTTGCCTGAAAACACACATCCATTGGCAGACTATGAACCATAATGATGACCATGCCTTCACACCACTCAGTACAATGATAAAATCACCAGGACTGGCACAAAAACATAGATTTACTAAACCATCAAGAGTCTTTTATGTTTGCTGGTAATTTACATTGGTTAGTCCTTCTTTGCTCCTTACACGCACAACCACACTTTGCATGTCTTTTTCAACAAAAGAATATAACTATTCCATATCAACTTTCATGACCATTAAATTTGATATTACAAGAATTAAGATAATAAATCAGTTACCGCATGAAGTCTATATCCGAAATTCTACACAATATATCTGTAATAAATAGTAATGGTTTTCTTAATATAATCCCATGTATTCAGTTGTGGTATATAATATTTAGTAAAATAATCTCATCAGACCTTAAGTCATCTAATTTTATTAAGTCCACCCTCACAAACTATAGTGTTCATATTCTATTGTGATATATCACTTCAATGCTCATAAAACATGATCCAAAAATCACAAAATACTCATATGGAAATGCAGTGGATGTGATCACTACCATGGTACTACGTAAATATAAATAATGACAAAACAATTTCAATATGAATAAATTAAACCAATACAACTGCGATTACTGTTGGACAGCACTGAATAATATGTTCATAACACTCTACATAAGCTATGATAGTAACAATTGCATTTGATTAGATCATAACCATATTTAATTAAAAAGACTAGAAGAGTATGTCGATAATTTTGATTCAATTACATCCATATATAACACAAGCTAAACATTTAGAAATTCAGTAAGTTACTATTATCTATAATTCACTAAACATAATATCTTCAAATATAATTTGGTAAATGCGTGTGGCAGCAAAATGCACTTCAAATCCTAAGACAGACACTCATGTTTCACATCTTTTTTTTTTTTTTTTTGCTGTAATAACTTCACACACATGCTTCCGAAACATAACTTATCCTGCAACTACAATCATAACTTATCCTGCAACCACAAACAGCTTTTTCCACCTTTTACTGCAACTTAAACAAATATAAAGAATACAAGCAGCCTACCTTCCTTCATTTCACATAGCAAGTAAGGTCAACTTATTTTCTAAAATCCTGACATAAGACGCAATTTGGCACGTTCAATAAAGTGGAAAAAAGGGACTAAACATTGACTGAAATAAATAGTGCTTCAGATAAAGATTGTTGATTGCTATTGCATATGCCTTTCCCACACGCCTCCTGCACCTTCATGATCCCAAAAACTTGTACTAAATTTTAATGACCAGGGTCCATACATTGTGCATCAACCTTCTCGAAACTAAGTTATAATTACAATAGCTATTTTGTGATTATAATCTTCCATTAGATGGCTGAAAAAATTTAATGGTTAACCTAAGCACAAAAAATTTAATAGCAACATATTGGCACAACTAAAATCAACTTTACACCAAAAAACTGCTTTCCCATCAACTTTACATACATACTTGTGTGCATGTTTAAAGAAATGATAGTTTGAAACAAAAAAATTAACTTGACACCTTTTATTGAACTTAGATTAGTTTATTGAAAAACTAAGCAAGACATTGAAACAATGATAATCATATCATTGAGAAAATGTAGAATGCAGAGAGAACATCATGCACTGGGGACGTAAAGTATAATATATATATATATATATATATATATAAAATGTGGTTATCACATTTGATCGCAAAAATTGCTTGACCAAAATAAATTGAAATGAAAGAATTCTTTACAGATTTATATTGATCAAACCTGTCTCACAAACACATTAAAAAAAGTATACATATGAAACCCCTGAAAATCTCGATTAGTCTCCATAAATAGTTTTTTCTAGAAAGAAAAGGAAAATGCTAGCCACAGTTTATTGAATTTACGGCCTAATATCTAAACCTACTAATGCCTCCACATCATTTGAAACATAACGATCACAATTCTGAATTTATGGACCACCATAGTTTTGATAGAGTTGGAATGTGTTGGCAATTGGCAAGCCAAGATCCCACCCAAGATTGAGGATCCTTCTGCTGTAAAATTTTAGTGATCGCTGATGTAATTGCATACCAAATGTAAATCTCTAGTCTCGCTCCAAATATATAGAATCATGAAATAAGCATCTGGATAATATCATAAATCTATATTAGATAATCAAGAAATACAGCAACTATCCCCTCAAAACATGAAGAGGAATGACCAGAAAGCTGATCATAATGGCAAATAAAAGATTCTTCCTCTCTAAAGTTCCTGGAGAAAAGGCTAATTCAACTACCAACCTATTAGCAATGCACGCTCAGCCACTCTTATTCCCCAGTGAATGATATATTGAAAGTTGTGTTTTCGATGTGCCTCTATGCTTGTGGATGAAAATGGTTGTCAAATCCAATGTACCTCCAAGATTATGGTCCTCTTTTTTGCTATTTTGTTGACAAAGTTTAATTCCACATGAAGGAAGGTTCTGATACTAAAAACTCAAATTTTGAGAGGTATAAAAAAAAAACAAAACAAAACAACACTCAATACCATAATTAATGTAGATCCATGACCAGCCAGCTCATTTTCAGATCCACATCGGCTCCTCACTTAAACTATTGTTCTCTGAACATTATTTTATGAGTGGAAGTTATGGAGAATGATGAATGAATGAAAATTTTGCAACAGTTAATACAAATAATTGCTTGTCATTTCAATTTATTTACGTGCACTTTTCAAACTTCCTTCACACCATATGTGCATCACACAAAGCATTTTAATAAATCATTTAAGTATTGTTGTTCTTTTCTTTTCCTTCCTTAAAATTTTTTTGTTGAAATCAACGACTTGAGGGTTCCAAAAATCATAACCGATGAGAACCATGAAGCATAAATAGATAAAATGATGGGAAATATAGAATGAAGAAGAATAAGATAGAATAAGCATGGAAGAAATGGAAGGGAAAAAATGCTTGCGATAAGAAAAGAGCATGGAGAAATCCCACCTTTAAAGCAAAAGTAGCGAAGTTGTAGGTCAGAAATAATCAGCCAAAATGGAGATGAAGTTGAAGACCCCTCTAGTTGATCTCTCAGCCACCGAAGAAGCCTGTGAAGAAGAATAAATGAAAAAGAAAGAGAAAAATAGATGGGACAAGGAGAGATTACAAATACAGAGGGTGAGAGCAAGCATTATAAATGAAAAAAACATTCTCCCTTCAAAAGAGGAGCAATGACTTGAGCAAAGGAGGGACTGAATGAAGCTTCCAGAAAATTTTCTCCGCCGGTCCCTCACCGGCATTGGTGATGAGAAGAAGAAAATGAGGGGAAAAGAAACAAATTAATAGAGCCTCAATTTTGAATTTGAACAGAGGAGTAGGCGTAGTAGGTGAAAAATATGACAGATGAGAACAACCCCGTAAGAAGGAAAAAAATGAGGGAGCCATATGCGAGCTGGCACTGTTCATACGCTAAGCTGTTACTGTTCATAGAACAGTATTTTGAGTGAGGAGCCGATATGGATATGAAAATGAGCCGGCTGATCATTGATTTTTATTTATTATTGTAGGAAAATGGGCCAGTCCACCCTTGGTGGATTGGGCCCAAGCCCATTAAATTTGGGGCTCTAATGCAAATAACATAACCTGTGGGTCTTAAATGGTTATTTGCAATTTTTTTCTTCCAAAATATGGATAAGGACAAAGGGGGCGGAAGTTTTATTTTCAAGAGATAAAATCAGTTTGAAAAACTGATTTTTCTAACCGGCTTGTTTTTCCTCCCGCCTGCGTCTCTCTTCTCTTCCTAACAAACACAAAGTGCATTTGCTGTGAATGTTGATTCCCATTCCATTACCGTGATCGGAATTCCGTGCGTGGCTATCTGAATCTGAGATTACTCGACACTTCAGGTATGCCCGAAACCCATTATTGGTATCAGAGCCTCCTCTATTTCTTCCACTGCCCTGTTTCACCTTCTGCGTTTTCATTTTTTTTTTGTTGTGTGCCTCACGGTTTGGCACTTCATTCCCACTTCAGTGATTTGCTCTCAGATATTAAGTAAATCTTCTCTTTATATTCAGCATGATAGTTGTTTATGATGATTCTGTGTTATTTAATAGTTTTTTTTTGGCTTCCATGAACGTCGGATGTGAGAGTTTTTTTTTGTTTGTTGTCTCCAACAATTATATGATAGTATTCTGCATGGGAGATGACCGAAAACAATTAAAAACATCTGAAAAACGGTAAAAATGTAGGTTTGGAAGCATGAAATTCATGACCGGTACAGTTCGTTCTTGAGCCATTAGAGTTTTCGTTTCTGGGTGTCTGAAAAATGAAGTTTTTAGGCTTCAAAAATTATCCCATTGCGTAGAGCTCAAAAAAACGAAGAAAATGACACCAAGAACGCGAAGAACGGACGTCGGACGGAGGAGATACGGGGGAGAGAATAATCCGGGTCCGACGGACCTGACCCGCGACGGAAACCGGGTCGGTCAGACCCGGCTGGAGGTTGAAGACAACCTCCAGCCCCCCCAAACGATGTCGTTTTGACGTCGTACAAAAAAAAAATGAGGCGGGGCGACTGAGTTGGTTGGGCTAGCTTGGTCCGGATCCGGATAGGACCGGACCAAGCCCAACCCGAAAAAAACAAAAAATATATATATAAAATAATAATAATAATAATAAAATAATTTATATAAAAAATTTTGCCAGAATTGCCACGTGGCGCGTGCCGCCACGTGGCATACCTCTTCGACACGTGGACACCACCACCTGAAAGGTGGTGGCGCGTGCGGGCCGCCGAACGGCGCGTGTCCTCAGCGGCCGGCTCCATGGCGGCGCGTGACGTACACACGCCGACAGCGAGAGTGGGCGAAGTTTTTTTAAAATTTTTCGCTAATTCTTCCTTCTAGGGCCGCGTGTAGGCGCGTGAATGGTCCAATTGGGGTGTGGTTTGTCTCTAAAAATCCCTAAAATTAGGATCTTTATTTTAATATATAATTTGATAATTTTAGAGACAAATTTAGGATCCATTTATGAGTATTTTAGTGCGTTTTCTAGTGTTTTTATGTGGATAAAAATTCCAGAATATTCAAAATAATTTATATTATTTTGTTCTAGGTGAAAATGGAGCAAGAGGCTTCTAGTAGCACTGAAAATACCGATCATGGTTCATTGGAATATTCATTCTTAGGTGATGGAATTTCAGAACATGAACCTGAGGATGAGGATCCTGAGGAGGACCCTGAAGAGGTTCCTCAAGAAGACCCAGAGGAGTTAGTGGATTCCGGACCTGAGTCGGAAACTATGTTCCCCACTGAACCCCTCCCTATCGCACCTCAATTAGTCTATAAAGATCCACGGGATCTCCCTAATGAAATTGAAGTTGAGGAAGGAGAAGAGGTGAACCAACCTTTGACCCCCGCATTAGCTATGAGTATAGCTGAGACAGATGCTGCAAAATTGACAAATATAAAAGGAATCAATGGCGTGCTCGCGAATTACATCCAATACATGACCGATAAGAAGAATACCGAATTCTACCTTAAAGTTATAATGGAGTACATAAGAGCGATAAGGGTTAGAGGCAGACCTAAAGGCAAACCCATAAGAAAGTCTTACTGGATTTGGGCCATAGAGCTAGTATCCTCCTTTATGAACAAAAAACGCAAACTCAGGAGCCTAAGGAAAGCAATGCTTAATTACCTTTATGTGCATATCAAATAATGTAATATTTACATATGCTTTATTAATATTTGTTGTATTAAGTTTTTTATGGTTTCATGCATTGTAAACAGACTAAATATGTTGTTTCATTTAATGAAATTACTTGAATTGTTGTTATATGATTATCTTGTGAATAGTATGTGTATGCTTTTTATAAGTGGGAGCTTTTAGAAGATAAGACTTCTAAGAGTCATAATTTTTTTTGAAGTGCTTATATAAAATCCTTGATAGGAAATAATGTTTGTTGCTTGTATCTGTGTGATGGGAGGTACAAACGTATGCTCTTGATCATGGATCTTGCAGCATCATTACTTTCTGATCAAGGATGATATAAGTACAAGACATTGTATACTTCGCTGTGCTATATATAACTAAGATGTTCTATGGTACGTCTCTTTTAGAGAGAATGTAGAATAATGTGGGATAAATTTGCTTCAGAACTGAAAATGGCAACCAAGAACATAATTGCTGAGCTTAATAAGGGAGAAAAGCTCAACGGGGATAACTGGGACATATGGCACCGAAAGGTTCAATACATCTTGGAGGAACAAGATGCGGTTGAACCTTTAACCACTGCAATGGTCGAGCCTGAAGTTGGGAATACGGCCCAACATAAGAGAGACCAAGAGGCTTACTTGGTGTGGAAGAAGAAAAACAGCATAGCAAGAATTACGCTTCTGAGTGCCATGGCTGATGACATTATGTGCGAGTTTGAGAGGCACAAAACTGCACAGGCTATTAAAGGACAAGTTTGGTGGTACTTCTACCACTAAACTTAGAAGGTTGACGATTAAGTTTGACACCTATAAGCTCAAGCCAAACAATCCAATGAAACAACATTTGAGAGAGATGGCCAACATGATCAGAGAACTTAAGGAAGCAGGCCATGTCCTGTCTGATGAACAACAAGTGCAGGCTGTTATCAGATCGCTTCCTGCTAGCTGGGAACACATGAAAGTCAACTTGACCCATAATGAAAACATCGTTACTTTTAACGATGTAGCCAAACACTTGGAGCTGGAGGATGAACGTTTAGAGGCTTACAAGACCTCTGGACAAGCTTATTACACCGAGGATGCCGGTACTTCCCAATCAAGGCCCGATTCCAAGAAGGGCAAGAAGTTTCAAAAGAAAGGGAAGAAGGGTAGTCCTCAATCCAAAAAGGGAAAGAAGCAATTCAAGAAGAAGGGAAAGAAAGGTGGGAAGAAGAAGCTAGACCTGAAGAAGGTCAAATGCTTCGCCTGCCAGAGAATGGGCCATTTCACACGTGACTGTTCAAAACAGGCTGAGAGCGAAAAGGTATTAGTGGATTATGTGAATTCACATGTTTCATATGTTTCTAGTACTGTTTTTCTAACAGAACCTGTTTCTTCTTCTTGGATTATAGACTCAGGCTCCACAGACCACGTAACCAGGGATCGAGGATCCTTTATCGAGTACCGTCGGTTGCCGTATCAAAGCAAGTGGCTTTACATTGGGAACAACGCGAGGATCGAGGTTAAAGGTTTGGGCACCTGCAAATTTACTTTGCGTGGTGGGAAGACCTTGATACTCCATGATGTACTTTATGCTCCTGACATCCGACGGAACTTGGTTTCTGTATTATGTCTGTTAGAATTTGGGTTTAATGTAAACTTTCATGGTAAAGTTGCAGACATTTTTAGCAACTTTGTTCTTTATGGTTCAGCTTTCCTGTTTAAGAAGTTCTTTGTTTTAGATATTGTTGGTGATTTCAATAGTAATGAATGCTTTGCTGTTTCTTCGAATAACATTGACATAAACACCTGGCATGCTAGACTAGGACACATTAATCAAAATAGAATGATTAAACTAGCAAAAGAAGGATTGTTGGGTGCCATTCCCAATATGGAAATGTCACTATGTGAGAACTGTCTAGCTGGTAAGGCAACAAGAAAGCCTTTCGGTAAGGGAAAAAGGGCTGAAACTCCATTGCAATTAATCCATTCTGATATTTGCGGTCCAATGAGTGTGAGGGCAAGACACAGAGCTTGGTATTTTATTACCTTTATTGACGATTTTTCACGATATGGTCATGTCTATTTGATCTCGCATAAGTCTGAAGCTCTTGAGTGCTTTAGACGATACATAAATGAGGTAGAGAATCAAATGGACAGTAAAATTAAAGCATTATGAACTGATCGAGGTCGTGAATATTTATCTGATCAATTCAAACAGCTCTGTGAAGAAAAAGGGATAATTAGACAACTGACTATCCCTGGCACTCCACAACAAAATGGGGTTGCTGAAAGAAGAAACAGAACTCTTTTAGACATGGTTAGGTCAATGATGGCTCAAGCAAACCTGCCAATTTCTTATTGGGGTGATGCTTTGTTAACGGCAACCTTCATACTTAACCGTGTACCCTCAAAATCAGTCGCTTCCACACCCTACGAGTTATGGACAAAACGCAAACCAGATCTAAGCATCTTGAGACCCTGGGGGTCAATGTCCATGATGCTTCTCATAAGCATGGGAAGTTGGGTCCCCGAGGAAAGAAATGTATCTTCA